GAATACGACGACGAAATAAGCTGCAATCTCTTAGCTGCTCGTAGATATATCCTATTGGTCTGACTTGGTAGTTCCATGAGTGTGCCGGATTGTGGAGCTTTCGAAGACAAAAGTCAATGTCATTGTACAGAACGCTGAGTGGAGTTACGGATAGTCAGTGTATGCCACGTGCTACGTCCGAGACGGCAGTTGAGAGAGAGGCGTACACGATCCATTGATGTGTTGCACCGACAAATGCGTGGTATGATGCGGAAATACTGGCCCAGCTGTCGGTATCAGGACCGCGTCGACCGCAGCATGCCTGCGAGATGATCTCCGGTCAGTAAGTCGATGCTTCAGCACTGTACGCCCCTACCTGACCTCGATTGAGGCTGCGGCTCTCTGCTTGGTTGCGGATGTGGATGCTTTGGGATTGCATGCCATCACGAGATGATGTTGTGGGCAGCGCCGAAAGCGGAAGTCGAGCGACGTCGGTTCTTCTTCGGTTGTACAGTCTGGCTTTGCGTCACGAAAGCATCGTTCCTCGTTCTCTACGCAGACGGTCAACAACACGGCGAATGAGATACATGGGAGCAACCTCAGTCTTCTTTTGTTTTGGCCTGCTAGGAGCTATGACGCCGCGCTGTCCCTCAACCAATCATCATGTCGTGTCCAGTCACGCTACCCACGTGCCGGCGTGCACCCGTCTTCTCCTGATTGCCTCTCTAGGGTGTTTACATGTTAACGGAGGTCCTGAACTTGTCACCGGCGTAGATGGCGTCCTTGCCGAGCTCCTCCTCGATACGGAGGATCTGGTTCAGCTTAGCCAGACGCTCGGAACGGGCTGGTGCACCGGTTTTCTGTAACAGATCAGTACCCATACATGCTTTGTTCATGGCAATCTGCGAAAACTTACGATCTGGCCAGAGCGCAGACCGACAGCAATGTCGGCAATGGTGACGTCCTCAGTCTCACCAGAGCGGTGGGAGACCATGACACCCCAGTTGTCGGCGTAGGAGTCCTTGGCGGCCTGGATGGACTCGGTGAGGGTACCGATCTGGTTGACCTTGAGCAGGAGGGCGTTGCAGGACTTGAGCTCGATGGCCTTCTTGATACGCCCAGGGTTAGTAACAGTCAGGTCATCACCAACAATCTGGAAGTCGGAGGTCTTGTAGAAGTAGCTCCAGGCCTCCCAATCATCCTCAGCGAAGGGGTCCTCAATGCTGACAATGGGGTACTTGGCAGCAAGGGACTTGTAGAGGTCGGCAAGCTGCTCGTAGGTGAGCCACTTGGAGGGGTCGCTCTCGGGGTTCTTGAAGTCAAGGTCGTACTTCTTGACGTCGGCCTTGTAGAACTCGCTGGAGGCAACGTCCATAGCGATCTTGATCTTGCCGGTGTAGCCGGCCTGCTCGATGGCCTCGGTGATCAGGTCGAGAGCCTCCTCGGCGGTCTGAATATCGGGAGCAACACCACCCTCGTCACCAACGTTGCCAGCGGACTGGCCGTACTTCTTCTTGGCCAGAGCCTTGAGCTTCTGGTAGACCTCAGCACCCTGGCGCATGGCCTCGCTGAAGGTCGGAGCCTGGCTGTCGGGGCTGTCAGTTGTTGTACGTCTTCCGATTCTCTCCGAAAGACCTACCTCGGCACGATCATGAACTCCTGGAAAGCGAGGCGACCACCGGCGTGAGAGCCGCCGTTCAGGACGTTCTGGAAGGGAACGGGAAGGACATAGGGCTTCTTGGTACCGGCAAGGTCGGAGATGTGAGCGTAGAGAGGGACACCCTTCTCAGCAGCACCAGCCTTGGCGACGGCCATGGAAACACCGAGGATGGCGTTGGCACCCAGTTCAGTCTTGTTCTGGGTTCCGTCAAGCTTGTTCATGAAGGCATCGACGGCGGACTGGTCCTTGACGTCAAGGTTCTCCTTGATGAGGGCCGGAGCAATCTTCTCGTTGACGTTGGCGACGGCCTTGGTGACACCTGGGTCGCTTGTAAGCTATCTTTCCTTGCTCCTTCGTTGCAGGCACTGCTCACCCTTGCCGCCCCACTGGGTCTTATCACCGTCACGGAGCTCGTGAGCCTCGTGGGAGCCGGTGGAGGCACCGGACGGGACAATGGCGCGGTGAAGACCGGTCTCGGTGACAACGTCCACCTCAACGGTGGGGTTACCGCGAGAGTCGTAGACCTGACGGGCGTGGATCTTTTGGATCGGCATCTTGAGCGTCCTGTGTGTTGCAGTTGAGATCAGTAAAGATTCTCGAACAATGTCAGCTCTCGGCCTCTAATTGATGAATCAGACGGGAACGAAGCTTCAGTTGGGATGGAAAAAACCAGAGTAGAACGGGGCATGTGTAGGAAAATGAGAAGATTCATGACTGCTTGGAGTAAAAATTCTTATCCGTGGAGCGGCATACCTATGCGTAATATGAATGTGACGTGTTGTGATAAAGGGTGGGTGCTGTCTTATCGAAGAGAAACAAATAAAGATCCTCTCTCAGAGTGGTTGGGAGATGATGGAGGGGTCTGCTGGTAGCTGCCCCGCCAAGTACCGTCACCTAAGGTTAAATCGGCCCTTCAAAGCGCAGTTGCCCGACGACAGCTCGGGCGCAAAGCGCGATAAGATTAGATTTGGCGGCTTCTCCCGTGCCTGACTGACGTGAACGTGAAGCTCTCCGGATTGCCATCAACCGTGTTGGAACAACACCACCCGCAACCTCTACAACTCATCATCTATCACCATCAGCCATTTCCCGATCTTCGGACATCTCTGCACGCGCTACATCCAGTCACACCCGCGCAACTTCCCAACTTACAGACACATCACCAGGCCAAAATGAGCGGCGATCCGGAGAGAGAGCACGCCCTGGAGGAGTACAAGCAGAAGCTGCTCGAGTCAAGAGAATGGGAGGCGAAGCTGAAGGCACTGCGCATGGAGATCAAGGGCTTGCAACACGACTTTGAGGTGTCAGAGGACAACATCAAGGCGCTGCAGAGCGTTGGCCAGATCATCGGAGAAGTGTTGAAACAGCTGGACGAGGAGAGATGTAAGCATCGATACCACCACAGAGAAGCTATGTTAGGCATCGAGGCTGATACTCGCGTCAGTCATCGTCAAAGCATCATCAGGACCGCGCTACGTCGTCGGCTGCAGGAACAAGCTCGACAAGACCAAACTCAAGCAGGGCGTACGTGTCGCGCTTGACATGACCACCCTCACCATCATGCGCATGCTACCAAGAGAAGTTGACCCACTCGTCTACAACATGTCGTTGGAAGACCCGGGGCAAGTCAGCTTCGCCGGTATTGGAGGTCTGAACGAGCAGATCCGCGAGTTGCGCGAGGTCATTGAGTTGCCGCTCAAGAACCCGGAACTCTTCCTCAGAGTAGGCATCAAGCCGCCCAAGGGTGTATTGCTGTACGGACCACCTGGTACTGGAAAGACGTTGTTGGCCAGAGCCGTGGCTAGCAGCTTGGAAACCAACTTCCTCAAGGGTATGCAAACCACATGTCCACAAGCGCTGGCATCACAACTAACCTGCCATCTCAGTGGTGTCATCCGCTATTGTCGACAAGTACATTGGAGAATCCGCACGCCTGATCCGCGAGATGTTCGGTTACGCGAAAGAGCATGAACCCTGCATTATCTTCATGGATGAGATCGACGCTATCGGTGGACGGCGCTTTAGTGAGGGTACATCTGCCGATCGTGAGATTCAGCGCACGCTTATGGAGCTCTTGAACCAACTGGACGGCTTCGACTACTTGGGCAAGACCAAGATCATCATGGCAACAAACCGACCGGATACACTGGACCCGGCGCTGCTGAGAGCTGGGCGTTTGGACAGGAAAATTGAGATTCCGCTGCCGAATGAAGTTGGCCGGATGGAGATTCTGAAGATCCACGCTGCAGGCGTACAAAAGGAGGGCGAGATCGATTTCGAGAGCGTGGTCAAGATGAGCGATCAGCTGAATGGCGCCGATCTGCGTAACGTGGTTACGGAAGCGTAAGTCGCGCTCCTCCTGCCCCAACCTCCTACCCAAACCCTCCATCCAGACAAAGTACAGTGTAGCTAATATCACTCCCACAGTGGCCTGTTCGCCATCAAGGACTATCGGGACGCGATCAGCCAGGACGACTTCAACAAGGCGGTTCGCAAGGTCGCCGAGATGAAGAAGCTCGAGGGCAAGCTCGAGTACCAGAAGCTGTAAAGAGATTGACGGAGCATTTCCGGGACGTAGGTGCATGGGCAAAGCATTCAGCGGGCGTTCTTTGGCGCTTTGAGCGGGTATCTCTTGGCCTTAAGAGCAGAGATTGGCGCTGCTACCAGTGTAACATAGTTGACGTGTGGCTAATGGGTTGGCATGTATTAAGACCCCTCTAAGGGCCGTATGGAGAGAAAAATCCATCCCGTGCTCTGGCCTTTTGTTTGGTCTGGTGTGATAGGTGAAAGAGAAAGTCAATATCGTCCCGTTTACTGAACAATAAGAGCTACTAACAGAAAAGGTTCGGTGGGCACAACTGAGCCGTCAGAAGCCAGTCCTTCTTATCAGCCGACACTATGCCTCATGCTTTACCACTCAATGCTCACAAATCACCCGTATCTCTTTTCCAGGAGAATCTGAAGCTCCGTCAGCGGAGCCATGTCCTTCGTGAGGAAGCAAAGAAGGAAAAGAAAAAGAGAATGGAGTTGGCAGGAGGCGAACGCTGCGTCTTCCCCAAGGACACTGCAAAGAGCACACAACTGAACTCTCGTTCAGGGGCCCAATTTCAGAGCAATGAGTCATATCTATCAATTGAACTACAACCCCTAGATGCGCTGGAAAAGTCGGACGGGAAACATTTCATGGCAATAGGCTGCTCGCCGCCTGCAGGTTTAATATGGGAGACGGGCGAGGAATGCGCGTGGAGGGCTCCTTCCCTATCTGGAGCATGGATAAAGGATTGACCGCAAGTGAGATGTTTCCACATTGCTGTAGAAGAATAGGCGTGTATCAGAAGCAGGTAGAGCAGAAGAACAAGTTTGGAGCCGGCAGGATTTGAACACTGCGCTTCTCCAACTCAAGGACCAGAACTGCGAGACCCAAGTCAAGCAAACGGTCGGTATCAGCACCCGAGACGTCATACCAACTAGACCACCACCCTTGGAATTGGCGTCAGCGTCGAACGGGAAATAGTATATCAGGTGGATGGACAACTGTAAACCGGAGAGAAGAGTGGATGTTGAAGTGGAAGCGGAAACCACCCTCGCCGCTCCATTTAATCAAGAAGTTCAGCTCCAGCCCCGCAGAGTGCGCCCTTCTCTTGTTCACTCCTGTTCGCCTTCGCTCTTGTCAATGTCTCTTGAATCGCACAGGTCTTTTTCTTCGGGTAGCAATAATCAAACCACTGCAACAACGAGCTCACGAAAAACGACAGGGGACAAAAGCTTTCGTGAAGGGATATAACAGGATTTCTGTGGCAATGGACACTGTTAGCCGTATGACGCCACCATGACTATCCTTTGCATGCCGTAGTCGTTGCCGAACGTCTCAAGAGATTACATCGTGACAGTCTTCGCACGAAGGGTAGAAACTTGTGGTCGTTTCGAAGGTGGCTGTCATCTGGGGCGGCTTCGTCTAAGAGTGTGTTATTCCCATGACCGGAAGAAGCACTATCCGTATCATCCCCATCGTCACCGTCGCGGTCTGCGTTCGAAGCTTGGCGCATCGATGACGCTGTTCCGGCGGTGAGGGTTTGGTGACTGAATGGCCATCAGGTGTCTCGAAAGCCCCTATGTCACATGCAGCTCGTCCAGAAGACGCTCGCCTCCTACAACGCCAAGCAATCTGCAAGCAAGCCGCAGGTTTTGCATCTCTCTTGCCTCAGCCATCTCACAGATTCGATGGAGCAACTCGACCGGTAGACTAAGGAATGGGGGATCATTGTGTTGTTGTCGTTGCCGTTATCTTCCCATACTTGTCAATCTTTCTGATACGCTGCGGAGCGTCATGGCTTTCAGCGGACCGGACTGGCTCTGACACGGGAAGGCCGCGTATATGGACTGCGGCCTGGCGAGAAGGAAAGTCTGTACCTCAACTGAAGACTCGGCTGCACACACACTTTCAGCAGGCTGGACGTCCCAGGGCCTAGTTTTGTGGGACAAGCGGGGTAGTGATCGGAACCGGTCCCATCTTAGAGCTCCGGGATACATGAGCTTACGAGAAGCTTAGATGCACGTCTCGCGTGACACAAAAAGGCGGACCAAGTCCCAAGTACTGTACAACAAACGTGACGCCGGGAGCAGCCTGTCCTGGCGCACAGACCCGGAACTGCTTACAGCTATCGTGAGGTCTCAGCTGATGCGACGTAACGAAGCCTGAGCTCCAACGACGAACAACGGTGTTCCTGGAGCGAAGTCAAGCAACCCAAACGGGCCTATCAACCAGAACTGACACATCGCAAATGGTACTTTTACACATAGACACGCGAGTTATCGCAGAGGTCCGAAGTCGCCGGCCAATCGCTAACAGAACGGATGGCGTGCGTGCTTCGAGACCCTTCACGCTATCTACGCAGGTGCTGAGGTACCGTTGCTCGTGGCTAAACTTAGATGTAAACTGTGGCATTGTTTGGCGTGGAGGCTCATCAGCAATGGCATCGGCCCGTTTCGTTGTAGGCTTGACTACGCGCGACAGCTTCGTTGACCTGCATATCGCTTGTCACATCTGTGGGCAGAGACTGACGTTCGCGACAAGTGACAGCTAGATCACGACCGCCGCACTGCTTCAAAGTCGCACCGTACCACGCATGCTGCCCGGGCACGAAGATGACGACAAGATAGGAGATAATCGCCGTATGCAGGTGGAGACGTACCTTGCGCCGTCAACTGTGCACAGAGTCGAAGCCAAACAGCACAGGTCTCGATAGGCGATCTTTCCCCGCGATTCTTGGACGAAGCAGCGCTAGGCCGCAGAGGGCGAAGATCGTTTGTATGATCCAATGACGGCGTGCGCTTGGTGTGGGGAGGACACCCATGCACATTGACTTTCCATACGACTCCCACTTCCTTTCCATCTGTCTGTTCTTTCGTCTTCTTACTCTCTCAATCCACTCTGTTCCTTGCGCGTACCACATCCGCCAGCTTCCTTTGTCCTCTGTCCCAGTATCCCACTTATCCAGTCAAACGTGCTGCCTGATCACGCCATTGACGCACGATCAGCACGTGGCATCCTTGACGCTCCTGAGCGCTCCTCCCCAAAACAACAGCCCCCGATCTTCACGGCCACACCTCGAACATCCCAATTCGCACATCTGCAACACAGCCGGCCTTGCCTTTGTACGAAACCACAGCCAACGCTCTACAATGTCCGACCAGAGCAACTCTCCACCAAACTCTCCTCCTACCCGCCGTCGCTCCTCTTTCGCCGGCCAGACTTTCGCCGATATCTTCGGTTCCAGCGGACGCTCACGCAACAACACGGTGTCAGACTCCACCAGTTCACAATCCCAAGGTCCCATCGCTTCAGCAGCTGTCCAAGCCAACCGTCGCAGGCTGTCACTGACCACTCTCGGCCTGTCCGGATCTCCAAATCAGAGCTCACCCTTTGGCTCCTTCCGCGGCCACCGTGACAGTATCTCCAGTGCTAACAGCGGCTCTATCGACGAGTCTGCCATTGAGGATGAGCCCTCCACTGGTGCTACGCCAAACCAGAGTGCACCAAACACACCTTTCGCACGTCGCATGAGCTTTGGGGCCAGAGCATTGAGGGACGTGAAGACTGGAGGTGGAGGAGGCGGAGGGGACAAATCCAACGGTAGTTCTCCCAGTACTGCCAAGAAACCTGCTGTCGGTCCCGACAGCGGGAAGAAGACTAGATTTGAGGCCCCGACTAAAAGTCGAGGTTTGTCTTCTTCCTACATCTCTTCCTTTCCGTTCTGCGCCATCGCTTCTTGAGCGTCTGACTAATACAAGTGGTCTGACAGGTTCTGGTTTCGATTGGTCCGACAACTTCCGCAGCAGAGCCGAGCGCAGCTCCATCAGTGGAGGCGGCATGTTAGGCGCTCACGGTCCTGGCGGAGGACACGCCAGAGCCAAGAGCGTCGCCACGATGGAGCAGCCAGCAGTCCGTGATACTCCGAAGCCTGCCAACGTTCCTGATCATTTCCAAGAGCGCATCCTTAAGGGTGACTTCTACATGGACTGATACCACGACGTGGCTACATAGCAGTTGCCGGCACATGAAAGACCGGCTTCGTGGATACTTACTGTCGACGTTGGTGTAGCTTACCGCCTCTATTCTTGTTCATCAAGAAAACGACTACTCGCACAAAAAAAGCAACGTTGCGTGGTGCTCCGGCGTGAGCAAAAGGAGGCGCTAACGGATCATGCACATCAACCTGCTCGGCATCTACGGCTAACCACTTTCGTTCGTGTAGGAGGCGCTGGTCGTCATTATTCACTTGGTATTGGGTGGATATGTGGTTCTTTTTCTCTTTTCGTTTCGTTTGTTGTCAAGCTGATCGGAGGATTCTGGTATATGATATCCGCAGGGCGCAATGGGCGTACTCAGAAGAACACTCGTTTCAAGGCTTCCTAACGAACGTCACGATGGATTATGGAGAGGCGTTTGTGCAGGCCTAGGTTCAGTTTCTGCATCGTTCTTTCCTATCCTGTACTAGCGCTTCGCTCAATGCATCTGCACCTGTGTCCCTGATGCGTGACGCGCCTGCTGCCTGCTGAATTTCTCAACTTTCTTCCAACTTCTGCCGTCAAGCTCTTTAGCTTTAGCCCACCTCCTCAAACTTCCCACTTACATACACTCTCTATCGCGATACAACCACAGCGCATCGGAGCTCAAAATGTCCGGTGCCGTTGATGATCCCCCTACCGACGAGGAATTGAACCAGTTGGTCTTTTCTTTCGAGACCGTTCTCGACAACACTAACAACTCGTAGACTGTCAGGAAGGCGCTACTCTTATTCATACCGCTCCACGCGCTGTCACCCCTGCTTTCGCTGCTTTCGTTCCTTACCTGCCCAGATCCACGTTCTTTTCATGAGGTACTCATTCAGGTTGGTTATCTACCGTCAAACGTTGATCATATTGCCATAGCCATGTGTGGCCTCCTTCTAAAGTAAACGAGCTTCTTGTTTGGGTGCTGAGGCTTCCTCGACTACAGCGTGGCGAAGCTCTCGCTGTTGCCGTTGTGTCGTTGCGGCAACAAAACCGAGCGCATGGTGATGGGATCTGGGCCCTCTCCAAAGGTTCGCATGTCCAGATCGGTGCCTTTTCCTCTCGCTGGGACACAGTTCCGGATTCCTTAATCACCAAGCCACGATGTCCGGGTCTTCAGCTTCCCCGAAAGTGCTCGTCTTGGCCGTCTTGGTTGCCTCCTCGCCCTCGCCGGTAGTGATACTGACAGGCTGCCTGGACATGACGTCCGGCAGCGCCTCAGTCAAAAAGTCCAGAATGAACTTGTTCACCTGCTCGAACTCAAGCAAAAACGCATCGTGACCCTCACTGCTGTCGATTACCTTGAGCACAGCATTCGGGATCGCAGCAGCCAGCTCCTGTTGCTCCGCGAAGGTGAACAGGCCGTCAGACTCGATGCCTAGTACTATCGTGGGTTGGCTGATGAGTTTCAGAGCGTCCGCGACGGGTGTGCTGCTGGTGCTTGGGATGCGATCGCGTGAGACGTCGTGCGTGTCCAGTTTGCGCGTGATGGCAATGTAGCAGTTTGCATCGAAGCGCTTGATGAATTTCTCGCCCTGGTAGCGCAGGTAACTCTGCGCGGAAAAATACGTTGGAGTGCGGTTTTTGGTCGCCGAGGCGGGTAGCGGAGGTGTCGAGAGCGGAGTTGTGCCATGGAACTGCGGATCCATGACTGTGGGTGTGACTACCGCAGGCGGTATGGAGCGGAGTGATTCGATGGAGCTGGTTAAGTCATTCGTGCTGCTGTTGCGGGTCGGCCGTGGAGAACCAGCGTTACGGTGCCCTTGGTTGTGAATGGCAAAATGCTCGTTGGACTCGTTCATGTTGATGTTTTGCCGCCGTGAGGGGTCTGGCATGTTGCGACCGAAGCGAGATTCGAAGGAGTTACGGCTACGGTACGTGAGAAGAGCCGACATGCGGGCTGCGCCCAATCCTGTGGAAGGGGCTG